AAAAGGAGAAAGCTACCCGACTCACATGATGCTGGGTGGCATATATCATTAAAAATAATACGAGCAAGAAAAAGACAGGGAAAGGACATTGTGCGTCCATTAAAAAACCCACATTTCTGCTAACCATAAAACCTTATAAGGGCCTCAGCACCCCGCCAACCCAAGGCCTGGGGAAAAAGCCAGATTTTCAGGGAGTTTTAAGGGTCCCTGGTTGCTTCTCCCCCCAGAAACTGGTTTTGAATGCCCACCTCCGGGTTCACTGCCTTCAATCTGGGGCTCCTTTCACTCGATCTTCAATTCTGTCTCTTCTTCCAAGGCTCAGCTCTAACCACTAGGTCTCAGGGCTGTCAGAGAGCTGCAGAAATCATGTTCTCGGTCTCTTGCAGGTTTTTCGTCGAGTCCGCCCGCTGGCTGGCCATTTCGGGCAAGCAGGAGAAGGCGGTGAAGGGGCTGAAGAAGGCAGCCTGGATAAACGGGAAGAAGGAAGAAGGCAATAAACTTAGCGTCGAGGTATGAGGCCTAATTCAACCTGAGCCACTTTTGCAAAATACGATACAGGTAGTCCTCGTTTAACAACCATTCGTTAAGTGACCGTTCAAAGTTACAACAGTGCTAAAAAAAAGTGACTTACGACTGGTGCTCAAAGTTACGACTGCCATGCGATCATGATCTGGGCACTTGGCAACCAGCTCGCATTTACGACAGTTACGCGTCTTGGGGTCACAGGATCACCATTTGTGACCTTCCCTGGGGGCTTCCAACGAGCAAAGTCGATGGAGGAAGTTGGATTTGCGTAGCAACCCCTTGCTTTGCTTAACGACCATGGTGATTCACTTAAAGATCACAGCAAAAAAGGTCGCAAAATCAGGTCTGATTCGCTTAACAGCCGCCCCGCTTAACAACCAATTTTCTGGTCCCTATTGTGGTCATTAAGCGAGGACTACCTGTAAAAATGATTTTCAAAGGCGCTTGAAGGCTGGGTTATGAATTCCTAGCAGAACTGGCCCTTCCGTGCGGTACCAGGAAGGGCAGAGATGTCAAAAGTGGCTCTTCGGTGCCGTTAGCAAAGGATGCTGCTTTTCTAGTGTGCAAACCATCTTCACTGCCCTGGCACACTCAGACATCGCCACCTCAAGCCAGGCACTTCTTTTGGGCTCAGCTCTCCTGAGCCCGGCTGAAGGTTCCCCCACCTGCCTCGAAGAGCTAAAAAATGTCGTGGCACAAGGGTAACATCCTTTGGGATGAACGATTTGCCCATTCCCATTGCAAAGAACCGAGAACCCCAAAGGTGCTTCCCGGTTCTCTTTGCTCGTTCAGGGCTGGGTCAGACCTTATGCCTTGCTCCGCTCAGTGTGCACCGACCCATCCAGGCCGCCCTCTCCTTCTCCGCAGGTTTTGAAAGCCAGCATGCAGACGGAGCTGTCTTCCACAAAATCCAGTCACAACATGGGCGATCTGGGGCGGACGCCTGCCATGCGCAAGATCTCCTGCGGCGTGAGCTTGGTTTGGTAAGTGGTTTTCCTTCCCGGCTCCCTGCTTCTTTTTTTTCCCCCTGGATCTGCGGTTTCTTTCCCCTCGAATGTGGTTCAAAGGGGAGCAAAGAGGGGTGGGAAGGCCAGCCTCTTCTCCCTGGCCACCGGCTGGACGTCTGAGCCTCCTCGTTTGGTGGGGATGGGAGAACTCGACCTCTGGAAGAATCCCGAATGGTTCGAGCTGCCAGCCGGCGGAACGGGCCGCCACCTGGAATGGCGATCTCCCTTTCGCTGGGAGTCTTCAAACTAAGGTTGGGTGGTTCTCTGCTGGAGAGGCTGTCGTGGGTTCCCCGCGGAGCAGGGGGCTCGACTAGATGACCTCCAACCCTGTGATTCCACGTTTTATTTTCAGCACCAAGGTAGTAAATGTGGATTTGGAGGGGGGTTAGAAAGGCAGAGAAGAAACGAGGAAGAAAAGCAGAAGAAAAGCAAGAATTCACCTAAAAGGAGAAGTCCTAGTTTTGGGCCAGGAATACTGCCAAAAAACCTGGAGACCAGTCAGGGTTGTCCATGGTGACCTAGGACTCGTGGAGAAGTTCTCATATGAGCTTCTAAGCTCCTGTTTAAATCAGGACCAGGAGATCTAGGAGCTTTGTTTCAAACCGATGAGGACTAGAAACTTTATTTTAAAGCCTCCCCACGGAAGCCACACATCCCCCACTTCCTCCCACTCTCAGCAATCCCCCCCCTCCTAGCCTTCTAAAAAAGGTGCTGAGGTGCCCCCCTAAAAGGGCAGGAAGGCGGTCCCCTCTTTTGCTCAGCCCCATGGGTGGGATTATCCTGGGAAAATGGGAGGGGAGGCGGGGCGAAAACTTGCATCAGGATCTGTAGGGCCAAGGGGGTCCAGATGTTCTCAGAAAAAAAGGGCCTTTTGGGGTCCAAGCTTTCTGATGCTCTCCTCCCCTTGTAGGTTTGCCACCAGCTTCGCTTATTATGGGCTGGCCATGGACTTGCAGAACTTCAACTTCAACATCTACCTGACCCAGCTGGTCTTTGGGGCCGTCGACATCCCTGCCAAGTTCATCTCCGTCCTGACCATCATGTATGTGGGCCGGCGGTTCTCCCAGGCCCTTTCGCTCATCTTGGCTGGAGTGTGTATCTTGGCCAACATCTTTGTTCCTCAAGGTAAGGGTCCCACCAGGAGTAGACCGGAGCATGGCATTCTGCCTGTCTGCTCTTTCACTGATAGTGTATTATTATTATTTTTGTGATTTGTTTTTCTATTTCTTTTTTGTTATTAATTAAAAAGCAATAAATTATTACTATTATCAATAATTATTATTATCATAATACAATATATTAATATTATTGATAATATTATAATTAATACAATACAATATAATAATATTGATAATATTAATATAATATTAATATAATATTATCAATATAATTATCAATATCATTATCATTATTCCAGGTCCTTGGGAAGGACTCGATAGGTGGATAAAAATGCCAAATCCAGTCTAAACATTTGGCAGGCTGTGCAACCAACTAGAATAATACTACTAATAAAAAGATCTTCCCTGAAAGCGAAATATAAATTTGTCCCTGACTGGTGAGTTTCTGGTCTCCCTAGGTCTCAGCAACCTGAGGATGATTTTTGCCGTAATTGGTAAAGGCTCTCTGGCCGCTTCGTTCAATTGCGCCTACATTTTTTCGGGAGAACTTTTCCCGACCGTGATCAGGTGAGTGAAGCCAAAGTGTGCAAATCCTTTCTGCCACCCCAGGGTGTTGATTTTAAGACCAAGAGAGCTTGTGTTGACTTAGGAATGATTTGCAGATCCTGTCTTTTCCCCTTTCTAAAATTAAATTTAAAAAATTTAATTTAAAACAATTTAAATTTTAAAGGGTTCTTCGTCTGTTTTATCCGCCGTGGGCTGCGTTTTCACGCAGCCGAGGGGACCCGGGTTCAGTTTACACTTTAGTTGGTTCATTTCCAAACGTGTATTGGGCAAACGCAGAAATGGGAACGAGCAGATCACAGGAATCGGCCTGTCGGTAAGCCGCTGGTTCAAAGAGGAAGGGAAGAGAGAGTTCAACAGGTTGGGCGATCGACGGGTTAGCTCCTTTTCCAAATCCCTGCTAAAGCCGTGCGGAACTTGTGGGGGGATTTTATAAACTTGTCGCTCTGCCTAAACTACCTCACAGAGACGTTGTAAGGACAAATCGAGGAAGTGACGTTGCGCTCAGTTTAGCCTACCTTGCAGGGTCGTTGTGAGATTAAAACGATGCTGGAGACGGCTCCCTCGGTTGTCATTTCAGCACCATCTTCTAAACTGTGGTTTCTATACCAGGCCCTTTTTTTGCACGTGGTTCGCCAATGGGTTTAAGTTTTGTGGGTTTTTAAGAATATTCTTGGGGTTCTCTGAGCTTGGTTGTTTTCTTGCAAACATTTCGTTACCCGGCCAGGTCACATCTTCAGTGCTTCCCTT